GGTCCGGGTACTGGTACGTGTCCACGACCGACACGGAGTTCTTCCTGTGAGCAGAGGACAGGTGGTCGCGCTGTGCCGGCCACTTCTCAGCCCGCACAGCCCCTCTGGGCCGCCCCTCACCTGTAGACGAACAGGTACATTTCCTTGTACTGGTCCCGCCCCAGGGGCTCGCTGCTCACAAAGCTGTACTCGTGCTTGGACACGCTGTGAAGGGAGGCCCCGCCAGGGTCAAGGCCCCGCGCCGAGGCCGGGTCCCGGCGAGGGCCGCAGCGCGGGGCCTGGCGGGTCTCACCTGTTGATCAGCTCCATGAGCGCGGACACCGCGCTCAGGTCCGGGTCTCGCACCTCCTGCACCAGCGCCACATCATAGCCGGCCAAGATCTGGGGGAGGAGCCGGCGGCGGGGTCACCGGCAGCCCGAGGGCCCTCGGGTCCCAGCTTCGGCCCCGCCCGCGGTCCCGGCCTCACCTGCGCAATGATGCGGCTGCAAGCAGGATCCGACACTTTGTTGTCCCCGAAGCTCTGGACGTTGAAGGCTCCGATGCGCAGCGCAGCAGCCCCGGCGGCCCCCAGCGCCCAGAGCGTCACCAGCAGAACCCGGGGCCCGCCCATGGCACAAAGACGTCGGGCTGGGACAGACATGACCCGCGTAAGCGCGGACCCGGAGTGGGGTACACCGACCCACTCTCCCCACCCGGGCGAGCCGCGGGTCTGCTGCTCAGTGCTCAGGGCCAAAGGCACATCCCCCTTCTGCGCCCGAGTCCCCGCAAGGCTGTGCGCTGCGTGGGGAACCGAGGCCCAAATGAGGACCCTTCAGACACCAGTTCACCGGAGCCCCGATGCTACCTGGGCTGCGGGTGGAGTTGTGCTGGAGGCTCAAGATCCTGATCCGAGCAGAGGTCGCGGTCCAGGCTAGGAGGCACAGGGCGCACGGCTCGGGCTCGGGCTGGCAGATGCTCTGGCGCCAGCGTCTATTTGAAGCCCTGGTCCAGGGAGGGAGGGGGCGGACCTGCACTGGGCCCCGCCCCCTGGATGGACTGGAGGCCAGCCCGCCCGGTTCCTCTTCCCAGGGAGACCTCTCAGGGCACGGGGCCGGGAACCGCCCTGAGCCTCCTCTGGCGTCCATCCTTTCCAGAACTGGCACCTAAGCCCCTGCTAGCCCCCTAAGACAGAGTCAGGACAGAGGCAGCCAGCCATGCCCCACCCCCTGGGAACTAGGTCACCCAGGATCTGCCTCGCTGAACTGTGTCCCCTCAGGGAAACTAAGGCAGCCACCAGGGAAGCCCAGCCTCATTCCTGGCCTGCATCTCCTGCAGCTTCCCGCACCGCAGGGATTAAAAAGCTGGGGCTGCTCAGCCCAGCCAGGGGCTCCCCACTCTCCAGCCTCTCCCCCCAACAGCAGCTCAGGCTGGAGGGGGAGCAGCATTAGTCCCAGAGGCCAGCAGGCCCAGGGACTGGGACCGGGTCAGGGCCCCAGCTGGGCGAGCCAGCAGGAGGCTGCCTATCAGCATGCCAGCAACACCTACGCCCCAGAGGCGCCAGCAGGGCTGGCAGGAGCCCCTGGGCAGGGTGGCCAAGCTTGGGAGTTAGAGGGTGCTGCTGGAGACATCCTGCAAAGGAAGTATGGTCCTAGCCCTGAGGCTGCCCCTGCCACAACATGACAAGCTGCGGGTTTCATGTTTTATTGTAAACCAACAGAAGAGACTATTTACATCTCCATCTCTGGGTGCTGCTCTGCCAGGCCGGCACGGGCAGGGCACCTGGGGTCCACGCCTGTGCCCACCCAGCCGGGACACTGCGGTCCCGTCAGACGATGACTGTCTGCACCTCCAGCTGACCCTCTGGCGAGGCGATGACCAGCTCGCCTGCGTGCTCCAGGATCTCTATGTCCTCTGACGACACCATGGTCACGGTGGCCTGCTCGCCACCACTGGAGCCGGCACGGGTTGCGAGCACAGTGCCCTCACTGATGGCCGAGGCCAGCGTCATAGCCACCTGCTCTGTCAGACTCTCGGGGGTGGCAATGGTGATGGTGTCAGCGGGAGCCGCCTCCTGGTCCACTGCAACGTTCTGCACGATGATTTGGTGGCCAGCGCCAGCCTGGTGCACGATCTGCCGCACCACCTTCATGATGTGGCTGTCCACCTGTGGCCACATGTGGTCAGGCCCGGCTGCGCAGCGTACAGGCAACCCCGCCTCCACCCAGCCCCTCACCTCTGTCTGGGAGCCCTCGATGATTTCGGTGGCCTCGCTAGTCTCTGCATCGTCTGCAGCAGCCTGAGCAGGTGGTCAGAGGTCAGCCTCACTGCCCGGGGGCCCCAGCCCAGCCCACCAGCCCCACCCACCTCGATGATGTACTCCTGGGTGTCGGCCACCACTGACGAGAACTCCACCAACACGGTGTGGGGGTCCTCGGCCAGGACAGCGGCTGCGGGGCTGTCCTCGGGCACCAGCAGCTCCTCCACCTCCAGCAAGCAGCCCCCTGCCGGTGGGCGGGACCGTCAGGCCTGGCTCCGCCCCCAGCCCCGGCCCCTCCCACCGCCTCAGCCCAACCTTTGGTGCGCAGGTGCCTGTTCAGCGTGCCGTGTTCGGCAAAGCCCCGGCCGCACTTGTAGCACTTGAAGGGCTTCTCCCCGGTGTGGTGCCGCACGTGCCGCACCAGCGAGCCCTTCTCCCGGAAGCCTCGGCTGCAGAACTGGCACACATGTGGCTTCTCCTCCAGGTGTGTCCGGAAGTGCACCTGCTGGGCATTCTGTAGAGACCGGATATCAGTGCCGGCCTGTTAGGGGTCACGGCAGACGGCGGTTCTCTCACCACCTCTGGGTTCCACTGAGGGGCCAGGGCAAGACAGCCTGGGGTGCAGTGCCGGCAGGAGGCAGGGAAAAAAGGCACACTGGCCCCAGACCAGGGAGCTCACAGACAGGGACGGGGACCAGGATTCCGGGACCAGAGGCCCACCTTAGTCTTGTAGCGCTTGCCACACTCGGGACAGGGGTAGGGCCGCTCATCTGAGTGGACGCGCCGGTGGCCGCGCACGTGGGCGACAGTCTTGTAGAGCTTCCCGCAGTCCCCGCAGCGGAAGCGGCGCTCGTGCACGTGCACCTCCTGGTGCTTCTTGAGCAGGTAGGCCTTGGGGAAGGCCTTGCCACACTGCACGCAGCTGAACGGCCTGGGCCCTGGGCCAGGGGACACATTAGGCCAGGCCCACCGCCCCCAGGCCCGCCTGGCTGCCCTGGACACCCTCGTCACCCACCCTCCAGCCACCCACCTGCGTGGCCCTTCTTGTGGGCTTCCAGGGTGGCTGCTGTCGGGAAGCTCTCGCTGCACTGAGGGCACGGGTGGTTCCTGGGCACAGTGGAGGACTCGCTGGCCACCTGCTGGGGCACCACAGGCAGGCCTCGGCCTC